AGGTGGCCGGGCAGAGGCCGGCGGGGCTGCTGGCAGGTGCGGGCAACAGCTGCCTTTGCCCGGTGCAGGCTGGAGCGAGCGCCCGGGCAGCAGCCTGCTGACACGCCAGCTCCAGGACCTGTGGCGGAGGTCGCGCAGCTCCCTGGCGCCCCAGCGCCTGCTCTTCGAGGTCACCAGCGCCAGCGTGGTCAGCGACCGCTCCTCCAAATACGTGGTGAGTGCGCCCGGGGCAGGGGGCTCGGGGAGCAGCCGGCCAGGGCAGGGCAGGGCAGGGCAGGGCCTGGCGCTGACTCTTGTCTCTGTCTCTCCCTGTGCTGCTGGGACGGTGCCGGCGGCTCAGACGAGCCTCAGGTAACTATCGCCGCTGGGTCCGGCTGCTGCCGCCCCGCCTGCTTGGCGCACCCCTCCGGGGCCTGCGGCCTAGCCCGGCCTGCTGCAGGGGTGCTGGCCCTCACGCCCCCGCTCCGCTCTCCCGCAGCTCTACACCATCTACCTGATCCGCTCGGGCCAGTTCGACAAGGCGCCCGCCGTCATCGCCCGGCGCTACTCGGACTTCGAGCGCCTGAACCGGCGCCTGCGCGGGCAGTTCGGCAGCGACCTGGCAGGCGTGGCCTTCCCCCGCAAGCGGCTGCGGCGCAACTTCACGGCCGAGACCATCGCCAAGCGCAGCCGCGCCTTCGAGCAGTTCCTGTCCCACCTGCACGCCATGGCCGAGGTGCGGCGCTGCCCCGCCTTCCTGGAGTTCTTCTTCCTGCGCGACCTGCAGACTGCGCAGCGCCTCACCTGCAGCGGCATGTACCGCGAGGCCCTGGCCGCCTGGAGCAACGCCTACCGGCTGCAAGACAAGCTGGCCGTCTGCAGCTCGGGCCGCTTCCTGCTCACGCTGGCCGGCCTGGCCGTGTGCCAGCAGGAGCTGGACCAGCTAGGCGAGGCGCACCACCACTGCGAGCAGGCCCTGCAGCTGCTGGAGACCCAGCACGGCCACCCGCTGCTGGGGCCCTTCCTCCAGGCCCACGTGCACCTGTCCTGGAGGGTGGGCAAGGACAAGCGCCGGTCGGAGGCCCGGCTGCAGGCCCTGCAGGAGGCGGGGGTGGTGCTGGACCAGCAGCCCTCCCTGAAGGAGTTCCTCGTCAAGGAGGCGCTGGACTGAGGCCGGGGGGCCGCAGCGGCAGGTGTGCTCGGGACGGAGAAGGCGGCGTGGCCGGAGGCCGCCTGGCTGGCCCCAGGCCCGGGCCTGCCGGAGAACGTGGCCGGCGTGCCGCTGCTGGGTTCCTGGGAGAAGCCCCTCGGCGGCTGGCCCAAGGGCTCGTTCCCTGTGCTCGGGGCTGCCAGAACTCCCCAGCGGGCGCTGCTGGGAGCGAGGAGGCTCTAGCCTGGATGTTCTGGTGCCAGGCAGACAGGCCTGCACAGCTCCGGCCAGGCCCGGGGCTTTGAACCGTACTTGAAGTCTTGGTAGGAGAAGGGACAAGGACTCTGCTGAGTCTGTGCACACCAACCCTCCCCTCCCTCACCCCTCCGTGGGGCAGATCCCTGGCTAACAGCCCCAGGGCAGCTGCCCTCCTATTGGCTGATTGCCAGTCCTGCACATTTGCCCCTGCTTAGGTAGGAGTCCTCCTCCACCCCGGGGGCCTGCCAGGCTCTGCAAGCCACGCACGGACCCCTCAAGCCCAGCCCAGCCCCACATAGCTGGCGGGTGGCTATGCAGCCGGGGCAGCGCTGGATGCAGGGTGGGAACAGAACTGAGAAAGGGAAGCAGCGTGCACTCTGCACCAACAGCCCCCAGCCAAGGAGCCCTGCAAGAGGCGCTCAGCAGCGGCCAGGGCAGAGCAGCCCCCAGCCAGGATCTCCCCATGCCACCCCCCCCCCCCAAGGCCCCTGCGACTGTGCTGGGGACACTGCCCCGCTGGGCACAGCCGGGCACAAGGTACAGACTCTGCGGGAGCTGCCACAGCTGCTTTATTGGGGGGGAGGGGGGAAGGGGAAGCAAGGCAGAGACAGCAGCTGCCAGTCCAGTGTGTAACAAACCCTCAATAAACGTGACGTAACCGCAGCCTGCGTCTGCCTGCCCCCAGCCTGCACCTGCTGTGCCACCACCTCCCAGCAGCACGGAGATCCAGCTGGCTCCAGCCCTCCGCTGCTGCCCAGGCTCCGCAGCAAGCCCGTGCCCGCTTCCAGACAGGGCGGCCTTTCTGCGGGGGCAGCTACAGCTTGCTCTCGATCGGGGTCTCCGCCACCCTGATGACTCCTTCCTGTGCGCAGGTGACAGCCAGGACCCCGTCCCTGCGCCACAGCCGTCCATGCACCAGCCCTCGGCTCCCACCTGCCGAGACAAGGGACAACTGTTACCTGGGAGCCCCTCAGCTCCCCCAAGGATGTGGGCGGACCTGCCTCAGCACTGCAGGGCTGGGGGGAACCATGGCTTCCTGCACTCACCGGCCCAGGGGCTCTCGCACTCGTAGAGCATCCAGTGGTCGGCTCGGAAGGGCGCATGGAACCACATGGAGTGGTCCAGGGAGACCATGAATTCGACCGTGTGCTGCCGGTGCGGGAGCAGGGCAGTGCCCAGGAAGGCATAGTCGGAGATGTAGGCAGCAACGCAGCAGTGCAGCTTCATGTCACCCTCCCCTGCAAGGTAGTGGCTTAGAGCACGGGGCCAGGGGCCCGTGGGACGTAAGCCATCGTGCTCTGAGGGGGTGGGGCGTGGAGCCGAGTTCCTAGGGTGCCTGCAGGACGTGCCAGAGCAGCGGCCCTGACCACTGGCCCCTCCTGTGGTCCCACTGCCATGCTCGCCCGCTATGCCTGGAAGCTGGTATTGGCTGACTCAGCCCTTCCCTGGCCTCGGGGATAGTGAGGGCTCTGGGCTGATGCTCTCTGCTTGCTCTGGTGCTGGCAGCGCTCATGGAGTGGGGCCAAGGAACAGCTTCGGCCCAGCCCCAGGCACGACTCACCGATGTAGCCGCGCGCCCGCACCCAGAACAGCTGCTTGGGCTCCTGCGGCTGCCAGTGGAACACGTCCGGCGGGTTCACGGGCTTGATCTCAATGGGCACGTTCTGCGCCAGCATCTTGTTGAGCCCCTGCCGGTACTTCTCCACCAAGTTGGGATCCCTCCAAGACAAGACACGGGAATGGTCCCAGAGCTCGGTCCCCACAGGGGTGTCAGCTGCAGCCCTGCCCTGCCCTGCCGGGGCCCTCGCTCCCCTCCCACGACCTTTGTGAGCAAGACCCCAGGCTGCGGTGCCAGGGCCCAGAGCAGAGCTCTGGCTGGGGCCATGGCCTGCAGCCTGCTGGCACGAACCCCAGTACAGGGAGACGGGGGCATCCCACACAGGTGCTGCAGTGCAGCAGTGGGGGAGGAACCTGCTGAGAGCAGCAGAGAAGCCGAGGCCTCGGGGAAGAGGGGTCGTTCGCTGCTGCAACCGCAGGGATTCCCGCTGGCCGCGGAGGGAGAAGTAAGCCCTGGCCGGGCAAGAGCGAAGCGTGAGGAGGAACTGTTTGTCCTCGGCCTGTTTCATGTTCTGCCTTCCCGGGTCCACGGCGCCTTCCCCTAATTACTGCAGCTGGGGGCGGACATGTCTAAATGGGGGGTCCTGTCATCGGGGCTCACCTCTCAGGGGGCACAGGGCTCTGTCACACTGGGCCGGCCCCCGCCGCAGTACTGACGCCTCGCTTCTGCCAGCTGCACGTGAGGGCACAAGGGGTCCCCAGCACCCGTCCCGCTGCACCCGCGCACTCACTGCAAGTACTTGTGGATGAGCTCGTCCCGCGTCAGCAGCTCCTCGGGGGCTGGCACGGCGGGCATGGCAAACTGGTGCTGCACGGGGCTGGGCTGGGCCCGCTGGAAGGAGGCCTGGCAGATGAGGATGGGCTTTCCGTGCTGCACGGCCTTCACAGAGCGCACCGAGAAGCTCCTCCCGGTGCGGGTGCGCTCCACCTGGTACAGTACCGGCACGCCGGGGTCCCCTGCCCCGAGAGCAACCACGTCACCCTGAGGGGCCTGGCGCTGGGGCGCCCGCCCTGCACCCCCATTCCCCAGCTGGGCAAACTGAGGCCGAGGCCCCAGCTCTTACCGGCACGCACGAAGTAGCAGTGCAGGGAGTGCACGTGTACGTCCTCGCTCACTGCCCGCGCCGCCGCCACCAGCGCCTGCCCCACGATCTGCCCCCCGAACAGCCGCCGCGTCACCGGCACCCAGTAGTGCCGCCCCCTGCAGGGACACAGCCTCAGCGCCCCACATTCCAGGGTGGGGGTGTGGCTTCCCAGCACAGGGGCGGGGCTTCCAGGGGTCATCCCAGGATGGAGGCGGCATCCCAGGCTGGGGGTGGGGCTTCCAGGGGTCATCCCAGGATGGAGGCAGGTCATTCCAGGGTGGGGGCAGGGCCTCCAAGGGGCATCCCACGATGAGGGCGGGGCTTTTGAGGGAGGGGCTTCCAGGGGCTTGTCCCAGGATG